TTTTTTTCCTGTTTGTTTGTTTATTTATGTTTCTCTTCTTCAGATTAAAAAAAAAAATATATGAGAAAAATTACATTTTTTTCCCTCTCTCTCTCTCTCTCTTTTTTTTTTTTTTTCTTTGCATTTGTTGTTGTTTATATGCAACTGGAAGCGAGTGGGAAGAAGATTTGTAGTGCTGATTGACGTGTCTTTGGGATGGAGGGGACGAAGGGACGCCCATCACTTTTTTTTTTTTTTTTCCCTCTCCTCCACTGTTTTTTTTTTTTTTTTTGTCTTTTTCTTCGACCGCATATTCAGTTTTTTTTTTTTTTTTTTTTTTTAAGTTGGCGTTTCTGTTTGTGTTTGCCATGCTGGGATACACGGCGAGTGGGCGAAAAAGGGAAAAAGGGAAAGGGCATTTAGAAAAAAAAAAAGAAAAAAAAAAGAAGAAAATGAGGGGGGAATTGGGACGGGAAGAGGGCTACGAGCGGGAGCGAAGGAAAGGGGCTGATTGATTTTCTTTTCTTTTTTTTTTTTTTTTACTATTTTTGTTGTTGTTGTTTTTATTCTTCTCATTTTATTTTCTTTTGAACAAAAAAAAAAAGAAAAAAGAAGAGAAAAGAGGGCGGTGGAGGTGTAGGAAAAGGGGGGTGGCGGAGGAATAAAACTCCTTTTTTTTTTTTTTTTCTGTTTTCACCTCCCCGCGGTTCTCGGTCACACCGCAGGGAGGGCGTAGGAGCGATTCCCCTTCACTCTGCCACCCCTCTCGCATGCAAAAAAATATATAATACATCCGCGTGCCTTTAAAAATAAGTGCTTCAGTGAAATAAAATGCACATGATAATTCTTCTCTCATAAAGTCCTTGTGGCGCATACACCCCTCTTGTGTGCGAGCGTGCGTGCGTGCGTTTATTGGGTTACACATTTAGTGATATTGTTTTTTATGTGTAATTGTACTCTTTTTATTGCTGAATATGGAACCGGTTTTTTTTTTTTTTCTTTTTTTTTTTGTATTTGTAAAAATATATTTATATATTTATATGTAAGTATTTGTGTCTTTTAGCAACAAGAAGAAAAACAACAACAACAGCAACAACAAAACAAGTCTTCCTTCTTTTTACCCGCCCTCAGTTACCTCCACACTTTTTTTTTTCTTTTTACCTCCTCTCTCTCTCTCTCTTTTTCTTTCTGTTTGCCTGTCTTATTATTATTATTATTGTCTGTCTTTCTGTCTGTGAGTGTGCGTGTGTGTGTCTTCTTTTTTTTTTTTTTTTTTTTGGCTGGAGTAGAAAGGGGGAGTGAGTGTCATCTCGTTCTGTTGCCAAGTGTCGGCACATGACTCGTCTAACTGAAGTGTCAGTCTCTTCCCCCTCCTCCCCCCTCCGTCTACACCTGTGCCATGTGGTCATATGACACTTCCCCGCATCCCTATTGCTCATGTTTTCTTTCTTTTTGTTTGTTTGCATGCTGGCAGAGCTAAAAACAGGCAATTTCCCTCCAAATTGACGTGTCACAAGCCATCGTTTTTTCCGTTCTCGACGTTCCCTTCTGATGTACCTATTTGTAGTATTATTGAATGTGTTGAGATGCTGACAGTACCCTTGCTTCTTTTTTTTTCTTTATTATTATTTCCCCTGCCTTTTCCCTTTGTCCCTTTTATATTTGGGTTCCTTTTTTTCATATTTTTTGTTTGTGCCGCCCTTTCTGTGTGATTACGCTGAATATGTGCTTTTTTTTTTCTTGTGTTTGGTTTTGTGTTTGTGTCTTCCTTTTTTGTTCTTTTTTCCCCTTCTTTTTTTTTTTTCTTCTTCAATCCCCGTGTCTGTCTGACGCAATGCACACGAAGTGGTCCCCACGGTGCGTTAAGAAAAAGGTAGAAGACAGATGGAGGAGGACTGGAGCGGCGGCGGCGGGATATCGAACTTGATTTCCCTGGAGGAGCCGACTGCATCTCATCTACCGTGTTCCGTGCGATTTCGTGTCTTTTCTGATCCGGTCGACAACGTTGCTGCGCGTGAGGCGGCATGGCGCTCAGCATTGCCAAACAGTTTGTGTGTCCACAAACGCCGGCGACTGGATGAGGTGTCAACTTGTGAGAGGGAGGCGGTTGTTCGGCCTCTTCTACGTGTTTTGAGGGATCCCATTGCGATGGCGCGTCGCCGGTTTGAGACACTCCGCTGGTTTGACGAACCCCGAGCTGCGGATGACATTTGTGCTCGTTTAGAGCTTGACAGGCGGCTCGGCGTCACGCCAAGTCTTGCTGCCTTGCATCAGGCGTTAAGGCGCCTAAGATCTTTGCGTCGCACGAGACTCATTGCGGACCTGGCGGAGGACCTTGTCATGGATGCACCATCGATCTCTGTTTACACGCTCCTGCTGATTGTGGAGGGACTTGAAGGAGAGCCTCAACGTGCGGCCTCTTTTCTCTTTTCACTGACGCCTTTAGTTACAAATGGCACCGTGCCGACAAGTGTGTGGTCTTCGCTCTGCTGCGAACTTGACACTGTGGCTCGACAGATGCCGTCACCTCTAGAGCGGTGTATAGTGGATCTGTTTGGGCAGCTGTTTTATCGAGTTCGAGAGGATGGTCCTGTAAACGGTTCCATTGTCGTTTATTACGGTCAGGCTTTGCTGAAGAGCCGCGCGCCTATTCGTAGTGTTGTGGCATTTGTTCAAACCGAATTGCTGAGTGGGCGAAACACCCCCCCGAGTTATGCCGTGTCAGAGTTACGGCTGAGTGCATTTCTTAGTGATTTGATTCAAGTGTTGTCTGTCCGTCCTAACGGCGGTGCGGACGAGCGGGAGGAAGGGCCGCCGTTTTCTGCGCGAGAGCGGCTGTTGTGCTGCAGTGATCTTGTCAAACATGCATACGCAGGGCGACTCTCTTTGAGTCAAGCCGCATTTGACATGCTTTTACGCTTCTGTGATGAGGAGCAGGATTACAATCTCCTTTGTATTCTTTTTCTCGCCATGTGTGCCCTCTCCACCCCGACATTAATTTCCACCGCGCGTGTTGCAGAAGTCTTATGCGATGTGGAGGAGCTTTCACACCACTTTGCCGGGGTTCTTGGCCAGCCCATTCCAATGTGGATGCTCTACATTATAGTTCGTCACGGAAAATCAAGTCTGTTCACACCTGCTCATCGAAAGAAGAACAACCGAAAGGAACTTGAGTTACACTTCTGTGATTCTCTGGCGCGGTTGTGCGCGCGTGATGGGGATGCCTCTCTTTGTATGGATGTTTTTGATGCGATTGTTGAATATGGAAACCCCGCAGGGGCTCATGTCTTTGTATGTTCTTTAACACGTGCAATGGGTGTGACACAGCGTCTTTTTGGCGGCCCCGCGACAACAATAGACGTGGCAGCGTTGGAACCGTTTAATCTTGAGACGTTGTATTACGCTTTGGGAACGGATGCAGTGAAACTGGAAGAATTTCGCTTTTTTATTTACGAACGACCATCTGCGTTTCTGTTCCCATCTCGCAAAGGCAGTTGCGTCACGCTAGAACGCGCACTGTCTGTTCTTTTGGATTCGCCACAGGTGTACAGTACTGTATTGGATGTGAGTGCGGTGTGCGCCCTTGCGGAGTCATTGGCCCTTGCGGAGGCATTTGTTAAAATGATGAATGGATATGCAGCAAAGTCAGGAGCGTTAGCGTTTGTGCCATTTGACGTCTGTGCCGCAATTCAACTGACGGATGGTGGGCGACAATTGCTGCTCTCGTGGCTGGCAAATCACCATTGGTTAATCATGCTTCCACTTTCTTTTACGCTCCAACGCTTGACAGGCGTCACGTCTTCTGCGATGTCGATACCTCCCTCGCTCCGGCAGCAGCCGTGCATTTTTTTATTTTATGCGTTACGTCGTGTGGGTCACGCAAAGGCCGCATTTGTAACTGCCGCCTCGCCTGCCGCGGAACTGGCAAAGGCGGAAGGTGTGCACCCCGTCATTACAGTTGAAGAGCTGAAAACACGTCTCGGTCTTCGTTGACAGTGTGTCCCACCTGGGCTGCGTGTGGGGGAGATGCGTATGGTAAAGGCAAGACACCTCGAGTACATGCGATCTGGGAGCCGAAGGAAGAGGAGGACACATGATGGAAAAGAGAAACATGCAGAGAAGATAAAAGGAAAAAAAAGCGGTTCTTTTAAGGCACGACTATTTTTTATTGAACAAAGAAAAAAGAAAGGCATTCTCATTTCTGGGGAAGGCTGTGATGGTAGCAAGGTTACCCCGTTATCCTTTTAATTTTACTTTTGCGTTTCTGAGCCAAATACTAAAATTCTTGATGCCGTCTTTACTTGTTTTTGTGTACGCACGCAATAATGTTGTTTTTTAATTTTTTTTTTTTTTTTTTCTCTTCTTGTATTCTTTTGTAGCGTCTTTTCTTCTCCCTTTTTCTTTCTCACTTTGCAGAGATATGGCCGTGCCGACAGAGGCGGCGAAAGAAAAACCGCCACTTCATGCGTACCCCGAGGCGAAGGTTGGGACTCAGTTTTTTTCTCATCATGGCATTTATTCCGAGCGGTATAATGGCGTATGTGCTCTCACAGGCTCCATTGTTCTTATGGCGTCTGGAAGGTATGTTATGTTTGTGGATGTGGTAAGCGGTAAAATAATGTCGACCCCAGGTCCTGAGAATGGTGGTGTGGGAGCGGTTGCGGTGCATCCTTCGCGGCGATTTTATGTTGTGTGTGAGAAATTGCCGGAAAATCCATTGATTCGTGTGTACACCTGGCCCTCACGCAGGGAGGTGGGGCAGTTTGTGGGCGGCGCTACCAGAGGATTCAGTGCATGTTGCTTTAGCGCGGATGGAACCATGATGGCAACTGTTGGAATGTACCCTGACTATTCCCTGGCAGTGTGGAACTGGAAAACACGGGGGATGATTTTGCGCAACAAGTGCTATGGTTCCGATGTGTACACGGTCTTGTTTAGCTCTTTTGACAGTGGTGTTCTTGTGACAGGCGGGGCAGGACACATCAAGTTTTGGTCGATGGCAAAGACATTCACAGGACAGAAGCTGCAGGGAGTTTTGGGTAAATTTGGAAGGCTGGAGATAAGCAATGTGCCGGGTTTTGCCGTATTGTCGGATGGCAAAGTGCTCTCGGGCTCCGAGAGTGGACTTATCCTCCTGTGGGAGGGTGATCTTGTGCGCTGTTGCTTTGTTCGGGAGATTAAGAAGACCGCGGTGGATGGAGCAGCTGCTCTGGCGGTACAAACATATGATTACTGGCCTTGTCATGAGGGCACGATAAATGTGGTGGAGCTTCTTGGGGATGGTCGTATTGTGCTCACAGCAGGAGAAGACGGGTATATGCGCTACTGGCTTGCTAGTGAGTTGGAGACGGCAGAGGGCGAAGGTGCTCCGCCGTTGTATGAGCCGAAATGCCTTTTTGAGGTGCTTGTTGACCCTCATGCTCACATTCGCGCCTTGACACTTTGCCGTGATATGGATGAATGGGTCGTACTTGATAGTACTGGGGTCTTGTGGCGCGTTCCTTTTATTCCACCGAATGTTATTCTCGGGAGCTCGCCTGGCCGTATGAAAGAACCAGCTCAGGCAGCGTTGAGGTTTAACGGTGGTGGTATCACAAGTGCGGCCATTTCTCCAATTGATCATACGGTTGTGACAGGTGGTGAGGATGGCACAATTCGTCTTGTTGACTACGTGACGCCATGTGAGGTGTATAAACTGATGATGCCAGCATCAACGACTGTCGTCGCCCTTCACTTCTTTCGCACGGACAAAACTGGGATGAAGTTTATTGTGTGCTGTGAAAATGGAACAGTTGGACTTCTACAACGTGGAAATAAGGCGTTTGCGTTGCTTGGCCAGTGGCGGCCACACACAGAGGGACTCACGGCGATGGCGGTCGATCGGGAAGAGCGCCGTCTTTGCACCATTTCCACGAATGGCACGGCATTTTTTTTCGACATTAAACGGGATATTTCCTTACTCGAGCCCATTGGTTTTTGCCGTCTTCCGTTGAAAGATGTTCGGTGCGTGGCGTGGGACGATGCGACGTCGTGTAGCTTGGTGGGGTGCGAGTGTGGGAAGGTGTTGGCGATCCGGGCACCCAAAATGGAGGAGATGGACCACACTGTGTCCTTCGAGTTTAATTGCATTTACGCTCTTGTTGGTATCCGTCAGAAGAAGAAGGTAGAGAAGCAACAAGTCAAGGCAGCCACTGCGGGAAGGGTGGAAGGGCTGCAAGAAGAAGAAGAAGAAGAAGAAGAGGAGGAGGAATTGGGGCCATGGCCGGTGCGTCTTATTTGTCCGCTACCGAGTGGCTCATTTGCGGTGGGTTCCGGGGCGGCAGAGCTGCTGTATCAATATAACCTTAAACGTCGATACGATAACCTTACGGAGC